GAGCACAGACCGTCCATTGTAAAGGGAACGTGTGACATCGTCTGACAGAGAGGCCTGTTCTTCACATGAAGCCGTCATACAGATGTGGACCTCCACCCCTGAAGGAGGGTGCTGGCCAGAAACACCATTCGCTGTAACCTTTGAGCCTGTCCTTGTTAAGCCCTTGACATGGGGAAGGGCTCAGGAGGGAGTCCCCTACCCTAACCCCCCTTTTCCCCTAACAGCTACATGTTGTACTTGCCGATGGCTAATGGCATGACACACACACACACACACACACACACACACACACACACACACACACACACACACACACACACACACACTCAGGCTTACAATAGGTCTCCTTTAGGACAGTGTTTGATAGAGGATGACAGCTCCTCAACACACACCCTTTGCCCCGACCCTCCAGCAGTGAGGTTCATAATGAGTGTGTGCGTGTGTGTGTTTGTGCAGCATATTCCCTTCTGAGCAGCTGCTACCTTTAGGCACCCCCCCCCCCACTCCCGTTCTTTCTCCTTGGTCCTTTTACCGTTCTAACATGTCTGTCCATTTGAAGGTGACAAGACTCTGCACTTTGCAACTCTCACTCCCCCTGTCTGTCTCTCCTCTCTCTCTTTCTCTTACTCTATCTTCTCTTTTTTTGTTAATATACGAGTCTCAATAATCTAATGCTGTAGCTGTCCGATGGCCAAGCCTATAACCCTTTTCTTCTTCTTTTCTTTATTGTCAAAGAGGCTGTTGGATTTTTGGCCACAGATCAGGGCATCTACTGTAAAGACAGAGAGAGAGAGAGAGAGAGCGAGAGAGAGAGAGAGAGAGAGGAGTGAGGGAGGGAGTTACGACTGAGTGCTATGGAGAAAAGAAATAGCCGTGTTGCAGGGGATCAACAGGGTGCTAAAAGCACTCAGGGGAAGAAGAAATGGAGGGTTTTAAGAGAGGGCGAAAGGGGAGATTTAGAATGATGAGGAGACAAAGACACACAAGAAGAGAGTAGAAGGGCAGAGAGAGAGAGAGATGGATGTAAACTGAACCTGTGTCTTTCCTCTGCTGTCAGTCTGTGCCTGGCTTTGCCCCTGACATGAGGACGGACAGTAAGTGGGCTGGCAGGGAGTATGAAGGGAGAAGGCTTCTTCAGCCCCAGTCACAAGGAGACACTGACCCTCTTAGAACGACTCAGCATTCAGCTATTGTAGGAATAAGTCCTATATCTTTAAGGACTTCAGTGTGTGTCACTCTGAAAGGAACATTATTTCTCACATTTGGTCCGACAAGGCTTTATGTTTTTTGTGTAGTTTTAGTAAATCTTGTCCAGGCTCTGTGACCTTGCTGGTAGAAAAAAAAAACTCTAATTTGATTCTTGAACAGAGTCTTATAAGAACTGCCTCGTGAAATCTGTATGAAAGCTCAATCTTTGTTTTTTTTTTAATTGACAGCCGTAGCCAAGCTGAGCCTGATCTAACCAACAGATCATCAAACTTAGGCAATAGTCAGTCTCAATAATAGAGCTTTCCCACCTGCAGAAAACTCCTGGTATTTTCAGGAGGAGCTGCATTATGTGTGAACGCAAAACAGCTGAATTTTTCACTCAGGCTTCACCTGGAGTTTCTCTACCAGCCTCCTGCCAGAACACAGCAGGATACTTTCTGGAGAATTCACCTTGAACCAGTAGGATAGTGTGGTGACGTTTATTCCCTGTGATCGGTGCACGACCATAGACTGTAAACATGCGACTGCCACGACCTCTCTGCATGTATTTAAATGGCTATTGTGATTCTGTTGGACTACATAGCATTGATATTAAGACAGATATTTTCACTATAGCGTCGTGTAGCGGACTCTGTTGCTTCTTCTGCTACTTCCACCTTGTTTTCTTTACCTCAAGTCTTACCTCAGGAGACCCCCCGCCCCCACCCCTCATGTCAGATTGGGATAGTCTCCCTCTGTGAGGAGAATATGTGTACAGCTAGGTCAGGAGAATCTCCAGAGCAGTCCTCCTGAAATGATCTAGATGCTTTCAGGATTGTATATGTGAAAACGGCTTTAGATGAAAGCAGCTTTGAGGTTAACACAGACAGAGTCTCCTAAAAAGTTTGAAACGGCGTGTTGACCAATGAGAATAAACAAGAATAATCCCCAAGTCAAACTCTCTAAAAATACACAGGGCCAAATCCCTGAAGGTAACCGGTGTGTTATTTGTTTCAGCTTTATGGAATCATGACTCAGCACAAAAGTGTCTTCATGTTAAAAACGTTTTTCACAAAACTTAAAACGAATCCTGCTCAAACTGTGCAATCATTCAGCTCCATTAAGTTTGAAGAAGTTTGATTATTCAACACATGTCTTTGGTAGGAAAGTCAGAAGGTGGTTGGGGGGGCACTCTCATCATATGAAGGACAAACTTGTTTGCATCTTTTTCGACAATAGTTTGCTGAGCTAATTTGCTCTTCACATAACCTCTCCTGTTATATTTCTCTCATCCCAGAGTCCTTTCTCTGTCCTCTCGTCACCATGACTCACTCACTCTGAACCTCTCCAAGTAGAAATCTCTTCTTTTCTTTATATCACTGAGTTCCTCTTTCCTTTAGTGTCATTGTCACAGTTCCTTTTGCTTTTCACACCGTTCGCCTGGCACATTCCTGAATAGAAAAACCTGCTCGCTCTGTCGCTGCTCTGATATCTACTTGTGTCATTTTTACAGTAACAGTCTGTCACATTCACACGCTGGATCTGCTCACTCTGTGGTTTTGGCCTGCTGCAGGTAGAAAGAGTCCTCCCAGTTGGTGCAAGTATTCACAGATACTTTGATTTAAAACACCGTAAAAGTTTATTTATTCAGTTGAAGCAGAGAGATGCCGTGAAGAAACGATTTAGCAGCTGCTTCAGCAAACTTAAGGGACGGGAGATTGTTGCTTACAGCTTCTGTTATCCAAATGAATTACATGTCAGATCCTGAGATGATACACTGTGAGTCTACTCGCCTCTTTACTCTATCTGTGCTCTAATGAGACAAATATGTTCAGCACTAATGCTGCAATCTAGTTGATCTCATAAGTCAGAAATTCCGAGTTCCCAGCCAGAAGTGTCCAATGTTCTGTGTTGCAGTTTGGGGTGGGACATTATTTTGAGGTGCGTTCCTCACCTAGCCACAGGAGGCCGAGCACATGTTCATCCCAGGAGGATGTTTGAGAGTGGTTCTGTGTCTCTTTCAAAGTCAAGGCTGACCCATAAGTGAACTAAGTATTTTAGTTGTTTCTATATTATAGCCTACTTGCAGCTAAAGGCTAATAGCTACATTGTGTTAATATGTCAATTTGTGATATGTTTTTGATAATAAATGTTTATCTGTACAGATACTTTTATTTTATAAATAAAGAAAGAAATCTTGAGTCCTGAACCGGCAGTGTAAAGTATGAATGTGTAAGAAATGTGTCCCTCCAAGGATCTGCCCGTCAGGAAATGAGGACCACATCCCGAGTCCCAATATGGTGTTTTATTCATCCTTGTTGTTCAATGTTATCTCCCCTCTTGGTTCAATGCTTGCCGGTCTTTATTTATGGATTCTAAAAGGTGGCAAATCATATATGTGTATGAAGAAAAAAATCCTATCAATCCTCTCGGGGGGGGGGGGCTTTCATAAAAAAAAAAAGGTTCTGTGAATGAAAGGCCCCACAAGGCACCAAGACCCTCAGCTGACACGCAATTAAAGGCAGAGGTGGCTGGCTGACTGACTCATTTTTATACGGGGTGTTGGGGGGGGGGTGCAGACAGGCAGGGTGAGACGAGGTCTCTTTAGAGCCCCCCCTCCCTCCCTCCCCAGCTCTAATAAATAAAAAAGGCACCAAGTCTATCTTTACCATGCCGATGTGTTCCCAAAGATATCCTGTCCTCTGAAAGGGGGTTGAATCTATTTCCATACAGAACACAGGGAGGGGGGGTTGAGGGAGGTGGGGGGGGGCTCAGGACCTGTTTGGATGTGCTTGACATTTTAGTAAAAGGGAGAGAAAGAGCGAGGTGACGGGTGAGAGAGCAGGGAAATAGGAGCGGCTAACAAAGCGTTTCAGAAGAACCCTCCCGAGGAGACGGCGCGCTGTCTGGGTGCTGACAAGCTCACACACACACACACACACACACACACACACACACACACACACACACACACACACACACACACACACACACACACACAGAAAAACACACACAAGGATCAGCAGCCGCTAACAGGACTGAAAGCTAAATCTGAAATTGCCCTCTCCTTTTGATCTTCAGTGTATGCTTTACTTGTTGATGAACATCCCCCAGCTCTTCCTGTAACTAACATCCAGCAGGAGGAGGATGATTAGCTGAAATTGAACCCTGTGTTATTAAATATGTCGTCCGTCTACATGCAGCTTGTCATCACTGCATGTAAGTGCCCGGCTCTATTTGTACCATCCCCATAAAGAGAGCTCTGATAAAGATTTCATCCCCCATTAAGGAGAGCATGAAGCTGCTCCGTCTCCTCACAGAGAGCCTAGTTAAGTCCTCAGACGTCTGGCCGGCCTGTAAAAGCTACCGCCTCCCGGCCTCGCTGCCTAATGGGCCTGAAGGAAGATGAGTACATGGAATGAAGAGAGTAAAAGAAACAAATGACAGTGGGCACGACTTTCCTTTTTACTCAAAAACAGACGGCAGGGCCCGATCCTGGCCATGCCTGATTGATGCAGAAGGAGCATCAATCAGAGCCACTTTGTAACTACATTCAATAAAGTTTTTGTCAGAGGAGAGAGAGATGTTTCTGCTGCATGCATCTCCACTTCACTGAAAGTCTCCTCTGGTTTAAAATCCTTCACTTGTTCCTTCAGGTGATTGGATTAAATGTTAGAGAAATGATGCAGGCAGGAGAGGAGGAGATGTGAGCATGGACAAACTGAGATGATGACAGAGAGAGTGTGAGTTTCTATCGTTTGATTATTGTTATTATAACGCCTGGTCCTTTTTCTGTCTTTCTTTGTTTTCAGGAGGAGGAGGAGGAAGAGGAGCGGAGGAGACACGAACGGAGGATTGAACGGATCGAGCCGGTGGGGAGGGCCGATTCCTCGTTGGAACATTCGCCTGTGTTTAGCCTTGAGTGAGTGAGCTCCTCCGCTTCCATGTGTACCATACAGTATGATTTAAACACTCTGCTCGCCCAAATTACACAATCCAACCCTGCGTGCATCTTCCTTTAACATTTAGCTTTTATTTTTGTTCAGACGCTCAAGTGCTGATGAGTTTGTCGCCCTCCTTTCATTTTGTCACTTTCATTTGTATCAGTGTTTTCAATGTTTGTTCACATATAAATCCCAATGAACATGTAGACAAACAAACAGGACCTAGATCTAAGTCTAAGGAGAACTCAAATAAAATCGTCCTGGTCGCTGCATTGAGTCCTGAATAACGTCCATTTCTCCCACTTGACTTCCATCTGTGTTTACTTGCAGTCTCAAAGGATGTAGAAGTTTTCCTCTACTGTCTCTAACCATTGTTCCTGAGTAGGGGGAGTATTACCTACTCGTAATAGAGTTTTTTACCAGCTATCAGCAATATTTTTTAATACCTGTCCCTTGTTCCCCTCAGTGAAATTTAAAGTATCATGAAACTAGTATCGACACCCTCCTTTTTTAACTCCATCATTTTACCAGATTGACCCAAAGCTACTCATCTAAGTCGAACTACAGACCGCTGGAGAGACGCTGATGTTTGATGTGAGGCTGTTCTCATGACTGACTTTGTGTCAAATGAATCAGCTCCTTCTGTTCACTAATCATTGAAGGAATCCTAGCCTGAAAAAAGTCTAGAGACCAACCGTCATGTAACCACATTAAAAACAACAACACACAGAGTACATCCTGGCCACGCCTTCTTCTCTCATCATCCTCACACTGCATCTGCATCCCGGTTAGTCAGCGTCCATTTGTCTTCACGTCTTTATCTAACCTTCTCCTCCTCCATCGCCTCCTTTCCTCACGCGTTTTTCAATTAATTTGTTCTCTTTTAGCAAAACAATCTGATCTTAATCACTTAATTGGAGTCTCTATTTGGGTCCCTAATCGACCCTGAGGTCCACCGGTGTGACTTTGTAATAGATGACTTAACACACAGCACAGAGCTGCAGCGACCCCCCCGGTCCCCCCGGTCCCCCCCGTCCCCGACATCCCGTCAGCGCCTCGTCCTGATCCACTGTGTCCTCTTTTACATTTCAACATTTTCTTCTGTCATTCTTATTATTTGTTATTCATGCATGTCTCTCTCCCCCTCCCTGTCTCTTCCTTCCTCTCGCCCTCTCGGACTCATCCATCACCGCCCCGCAGAGGCATGCTCAAGCCGGTCGAGGTGTCCAATGAAGGAGGGCCCCTGGGGATCCACGTAGTGCCTTACAGTTCGCAGGATGTAAGGTAAAACAAAACCAAAAAACACAATCAATGCAGCTCAGTGTACAACAGCAGACAGTTACTTTCACTGTACAAAATGTCTCCTGCATCCTTCAGTCTGCAGGCCTGTGGACGCTGTTTTCATTTTTTTTTTTTTTACTCATCATTTCACTCTTTTTTTGCACTTTTCACTTTGTAACTCTGCGTTTCTTTGATATTGGTTTGCTTTAAACATGTTACTGTAGGCTGTCTTTTTTCCCTCACTTTTATTCTTTTTGCCATCTTTTTTTTTTTTTCTCACTGCTGAAACATCACGTCTCAAACCCTGGAAACGCTCACATACAAAATCTTCTCTAAAGCCCCAGTGGGAAGGAAAACATATGAAAGTCGTTTTTTGTGCTCGCCTGCAGTTTTTGTTGTGTTTTTATGCTTTTCTTTTCTTTTAACATTAATCACATTGGCATCTGCTCCACTTGAAGGTGATTCAGACCTTTTTTTTTTAAGCACTGAGGAGTGTTGATGAAAGGGGACAAGAGGAGGAAAAGCATGCCGGTTTATAGTTATTCCAGACAAAATAAAGGACAGAGGAAGTGGCCAGATGTAATCAAACTAAAAGCTTTGTGTATAACACAGATCCCTGCTGCACGCCAAGCCACTGCTGGCACAACACCAAGGTGAATGTGACTACTCAGCGCTGGGAGAGGGAGACAGGGGAGCGAGGTGAGAAGGCAGAGCGGGGGAGATGAAATGGGATGACATTTGAGGCAGGGAGGACGGCTGTCATTGGGGATTGCTGCGTGTCATTTCCATGGGACACTAATCTCATCGCTGTTTATAAGCAAGTGTCAGGAAACTATATTTAGCTGTGACCCTCTGTGATTGACTTCCACAGTTATCCCGAGTCAGAGAAGGAAAATAATGATTCATGATGATTGACATGAGGCAGTTCTGCTCAAATCCAGAAGTTTATTAGAAAGTGTTATCCTTGAGTTTCTGTATCCCTAATCTGGGCCTCACTGTTTGAGGTTAATCCAAAATAGAACAAAAAGTAATTAAATAACAAAGTCGATGACTTTGCCTGCAAAATAAATCGACTAAACGTTTTTGGTTTTAAAACTGTCAAGCCTTAAATTCTAATTTAAAGGAGGTGGAGTCAAACTAGGCCCCTCCTCCTGGGCTCATCTTCCAGAAGTGCACACTCACACACTCACACAAGCAGTAAAGTGTGTATCTTTACTGCTTGGACCTAAAATGCAAGCTACCGCACGCTAGCACAAGCTAACCCTGACTGTGTGGCACCTTGCCTGTCCAACAGGAAGCAGACCAACTCCTCGTGCTCAGGTGAAGGTAAACTGAAAAGCATCACATCCAATCAGCTGAATTGTATCTACTCCTAAACTCACCTGCTGTGCTGTCATTGGCTGGAGGAAACACACCAGCTCCCCACCCAGAAATGTCCCGAGTCAACCAGAACAAACCAGAACATGAATATCCAGTCAGAGGACAGGGTCTGGAGGGAATTAATAAAATGTCTTTAAATTAAAAATCAGACCCTGTCACTACTGAAACAAGCTCTTTTATTGGACAGACTCCTGACTGGTGTTGCAGCCTCTACAGCTTGTTTTGCAGCTGCTGGCTGAACAGTCCACCTGAGCAAATCAAAAACCTTTCCTTCTTATGAGTCATTAAGTTTAATGCCCAGGTTTAAAAAAAAAAAAAAAGACTGAATACTCCTTTAATCTCTGTTGTCTTCCCGCTTAATCAGCCTGCATCTTCCAGGATGTAGCAGTAATGCTGCTTGGCCAGAACATTTCTACTCCATCAGCTAAGGTTGGCACTAATAGCTATCAGAGCCTTCAATTAACTCGAGACATGATAAGACTTAGCGTCTGGTCAGTGGGCTGATGCTAATGGCCTGGCCCGGCGCTTTCCTGTTTGCTTTGCCGCTATAGGACAGGAGGCATTAGGCTCAGCGGGCTGTCATTAGTGTCTAGACCAGGGCCATGGGGGTCAGGCAGCCAGCAAAACTAGACAGCAAACAAGGAACTGCAGGCGCTCCAGCCCCGGCTGGCAGCACCCTGCCTCACTGTACTGACGTCAAGTCAGATCCAGGCAGGAGGGGGAGACAGCTGCAGGAGGGAGCACACAGGCTGTGTCACTACAGCAGATACTCTCTCCCCCTCTCTCTCTACAAGCACACACACACACACACACACACACACACACACACACACACACACACACACACACACACACACACACACACACATACTTGAAAATGAAAATGGAGTAACACCCGAGCACTTTGTGAAAACTATGAACTCACCTTGAGCTGTGTGTTCCCTCACAGGCTCTCGCTGTCTACTTGTTTCTTCCCCAGCATTTCTAAGAGGTGCAGATCCATTCTGAGTGCCGAGCACACACGCTCGTCCTCTGCATGCATACACACACACGCACACACACACCCTCACACCCTCGCAGATGCATTCTTTGCTTAATGAACTTCTCATTCCATGACCGGTTTCAATTGTAAACAAACTGCGGACATAATTGCCGCTCATAAATGAATCCTGATTGGATTATTATTTGATTAAAGGCGTTAGATGAGAACAGGTGGCCTCGTTGAAATCATCTCTCAGCACCGCTGCCCGGCCACGACGTGGAGCAATGCCAAACAAAACACTTTCAGAGTTTTGATGCAGATTTTTTTGAAGAAAAGTGGAACTTAGTGGGCTGGATGTTTGCTCTAAGTACAGAGTCGTTGTGCTTAAATCTGACAACTTTCATTTGTTTTGTTTTGAAAGAAATTCTTGGAACAAATTTTGTTCTGATATGTTGTGTTTTTTTTTTAACCAAACTAGTAGTCTTAATTAATAAGATGTGTAACAAGGGTAGGTGAAATAAGCTAAAGCTTCAGCCTACACCTTTTCGGTCAAAATGTTTTTGTTTTTTCTTGTGACCAAAATAAATGATTACTACTACTACTACTAAAAATTCACTGACAGCTTGTGAAAACGCCATTCCGATCACATCACGCTCTTCTGCTTTCCCTGAGTAACTGATCAGAATCGACAAAAGCAGCCCATCAAAGGGACGGGGAAGGGAACTGAGATGGGGGGCATTGCATTAGAGTCCTCACAATAATAGCGCTTTTACAGATTCAGCATCTTCCTCCAATCTCTAAAAGATGCTGCTTCATCCCCAATCCTCCGTGCTGCTGCTCTGAATGCCGATCAGGGATCAACCAAAACTCTTTATGTACTGTCTCTCGTCTGCTACCGGATCAGAAGTCATTAAGAGTGCGCCCGTGCTATAATCCAGGCATGGAATACTTTGTTTTCAAGCTGCCAACACTCATGGAGATAAAGCACAATCATGTCCACCTCCGCAGCGGCTGCAATTACTCTCTGTTCAACACAGTTAAGCCGACCTGCCGATTGCCGGCTCAGACACCAAGAACGGACGGAAGGGCCTTTTGTGATCTTTCATTTCAGCTTAATGCTGAACTGTTTACCTCCATCGAGGAGCTGAGACGAGTGTGTGGCCTGAGCGTGGACGTCCACATTATACAGACAATTAGGGCAATGTTCTGAAAGTGCTCCTGTTTGGCTGAAATGCTAAAGAGCTCTCTGTAAATCTGCCCTTGACGTCCGCAGTAAACAGGGTCAGGATTTAAATGGGCTGTTGTTTATGTGTCCGCTGAAACGATGGGAAAATAAGTGGAAATGATGAAAAGCACGCAGCTTATGTCCTTGCCACTGATAAGCTGTTGATTGCCGTGTAATTTACTTTTATCTTGTAAATCTTAGCTCGGCTTTTCGATTTAGTTCTGCCTGCGATATATTTCATCATTAGTTTTAATTTCTCAAAAGTAAAAGCCCCCCAAACTTTTTTTTGTCAGTTTATGCAAGGACACTGAACGTTAGCTCTCAGCCAGTCTACCTGCTACCTCAGGCATGCAGCGCCATACAGACGGGAGGAGTTTGTAGTTGTGCTGTGTGAGCGCACATCAGATCTCTTTGCATGCGGTTATCCTCAGGGCCTAACTAAAGCCCCAACGGAGCTCACTGATGTATTTATTTAGAGGAGGGAGCGAGGGGTGGTGGGGGGGATATGAAGGTAAAGGTAGCTTCTTTTTTTTTGACGAATGCTGAGATGGCAGTGCCGTAGAACTGCTTGGGTATTTATTACAGCCGCCGGCTCTCGTCTTAAGCCCCGGCATCTGAAAATGCAGCGTTTCCTCTGAAGCCATGAGATGATCTCTTAGCTGTAGGTCTGGATTTTCCTCAGACAACCTGCCCTGTCATTCTCCGAAAAACCTGCAAAACAGGCAGGCGGGTAGACTTGAGAGGAGGACAGAGGGACGGACGGAGGCTTAAAATGTAGTTAGTAATGCTTCTCCTGTCTGCAGGGGAATACAGGTCTGGATCCAAAGTTAGAGTTTGAGAAGTTAACTTTTGGTTGACGGTGCAACTTTCAAACCTGCAAGACTTCAGATTTATTTAAATTTATTTTTGGGGCGAGAGAGAGAGAATGGGAAGGGAGCCGCGGGTCAGATCTGAACCCTGGGCCGCCCGCTTCAAGGACTACAGCTTCTGTACATGCTATACCTTCTTCTAAATCTGGAGGAGAATTTCACAAGTTAAAACTATAGAAGTAAAAAAACACAACAAACATGCTGCAGTTTGAAGCTTGAATGGAATATGATGTTTAAACTTCTTCTACAGGTCATAAAATTAGAAGTCTAGAAATCTACCAGCTTCAACTCCTTCTTGTTTTAAAGCTAATCATCTTAACTCAAACAATCATTTGTCTGCTCTATACCTTTCTCCATTACTTCTCAGGTCTGTCGTTTCCAAATGCAAGGATGCAGGAGACAATACAGCGTGTCGCCTGCTGTTCAGTATATTGATATGTGACTGTGTGTGCTGTAATTGCCGCAGTATGTGTCTGCGTACTGTGCTTTTGTGCTTTATCTGTAACATGTTGTCTGATCATTTCCAGGACTCAGGGCTTGCTAGTGAAGCGTCTGGAGCGCGGGGGCAAAGCTGAGCAGGAGCGACTCTTCCAGGAGAACGACTGTATCGTCAGAATTAATCAGGGAGACATCCGACACCTGCGCTTTGAACAGTAAGCCCTGAAGCAGCCCCCCCCCCAGGCTGAGGGTTATAAACGTCACATTTCTGTACTTTTTATAAACTCTTCATTCCTGCTGCCACTAGCTTAATTATTTCAACCTTTTCCTGTTTTCTGCATTGAATAGCATGATGATTTCATTCTCTTTGTCCAGAGTGCATCCCTGTGTGTCCCCCTCTGTGTTGGACTTTAAGTGCAGAGACAGTAAATAGTGTCACTTTTGATAAGTGGAGCCCGAACTGCAGGGAGGACATGGCCCCCTCACAGCAGCACAATAAAAACAGACACATTACTGTCTTTGTCGGCCTCCCTCTAATAGGTCTCAGCGACCTGCGGTCCTTCAGCAGCACTTCGCCCTCTGATCCAAAACCACCTACACTTCTTCCCTCACTTCATCCCTATCGATTCATCGCTCCCTCTTCATTTCCTAAAGTGGAATGAAGATATAAACCCCCTCCATTTATCCCGAACCACCCCTCACTCTCACAGCCTGAATGTATGCACTCTCACACATCTGTGCCCAGGCTCAGATACACTCACACATACAGCTAGGTTTACATTGAGCTATACAGTATTATCTACCATTGTGTGTGTGTGTGTGTGTGTGTGTGTGTGTGTGTGTGTGTGTGTGTGTGTGTGTGTGTGTGTGTGTGTGTGTGTGTGTGTGTGTGTGTGTGTGTGTGTGTGTGTCAGGCTGAGGAATATTAGATTGCTTCTCCTCTCTGCTGGATCCTAGAGGCAGTGTGCGGTGGTCTGCTTTGCTCTCCCTCTCTGCTGCTCTGCGGGAAGAAATGGCCCCACTTCCTGTTAAAGAAAGGTCCAACCTACAGTCGGACTGGCTTTAAAAAATGACTGGGCTTAGAGCCACCATGCTGAATGTTTGGCAGGAATCAAGTTAGCAAGTTTTCTGCACTAAGATGTAGAGTCAGATTTTGTACTTTTGCTTTTCTTCGACAGCTCTATTGCTGTCAAAAAGTGATTTTGAAAGTGAAAAACGAGCCTGAGCTTGTTTAAGCAACATTTTCCAAAGATAAGAGAAGCTCGTCGTCAGCATGTAAAATCTCCAGACTATCACGGTTACCTCACCGTGTTATGTTAATATCTTCACCAGGCTGTGAACGAAGCCACCAAGGTTTTTTTTTTTCCCCCCTCTTTGTGCAAAAGATGCTATTGTCATTAGTAAACATCCCGATCCCCTTCCAAGCCCCTTCTACTGTGAAAGAAGCTTACAAACCAAATCCACCAGGGAGTGATGTTTTGCAGCGTTCCGCACTTCCCCTCCCCTGCTAAACACACACTCCTCAGCAGCATCCGAACGCATATGATGTTTGTGATTCTGCATGAAAATTAGGTGAAGAAGCTCAACTTTCCTCCACTGTCTCCCCCCCACCCCACACACACACACACACACACACACACACACACACACACACACACACACTTTCATCTTTTTCTTCCCCGCCCTTGATTGTGCTTCATGCAGAGTGACAATTTAAAGTGATAGTTAATCTCTTTGGATTGTTTTGCATGGGTAAATATTTTGAGGCGCTTAATCTAACTGAATGTAATGATGCATTGATGGGCTGATTTATTATTCAATCAGGCCCGCGTGGAGCCTGATTACTGGAGTGATGGCACTGTATATGTGCAGGTGGGAGCATTTGCGTACAATCAAGCACACACACACACACACACACACACACACACACATTTAGTAGTTGCCCCTCAGTGTGCACATGTGAATGACTGAAATTACCATAGAGAATAAAGATGGGAGGGACCAAATCACCTGCAGAAGTGGCTTGATAAGACGTGCACACCTCGCCGCTGTGTGACACGGCCTCGAGTCAAGCGGTGTCTGTTGTGGTGTGAGCAGCTCAGCGGCTGTCATGTGGATAGAATCAGTATGGTGTTACTGGCATGGTGATGCGGCTCCGGAAAACAGGAGGTGGGATTGTTGGAATCCAAACATCCTCCACGCCTCGGGCCCCCTTATGCTGCAGCATTGCTTGCTCCTGGCCAGTCCATCTATATGCTAAGTGCCACCAGCAACCAGACTAAACAATTCCTGCATCAGGGAATGATGTCGAGCTCTTGTCTCGGCTTATTTGGCCCCAAAACTCGGCTCGGTGTGTTTGTTTTGTGTTTTTTTTTTTTTTTTTAATAATTCTGTGTGCAAGGAATGAAATGTGTGTCTGCTTACTTTGGAAGCTCATTGCCTGGAAAGTTTCCTTATTGCATGATTCATCAATTCTGCTGATTGTTGAATCAACTCATGTCCATTTATTTCTAAACACACACACACACACACACACACACACACACACACACACACACACACACACACACACACACACACACACTGACTATTAAACATAGGGAGACTGAGATTATTCTCTTATGTCCCTGAAAATGCACAACATATAATATTTCCTAACTGACCCACACGTCTTATCTCTGTCCTGCCTTGATGCTGGTAATTATAGATAATGTAATTTCTGTCCTTAGCATTACATGCTGAGCAGCCTTGCGATTAGCAATGCTAGCCTCAGCTCTCCCTATCTTCCCTCAACATATAGCAGCACACAGCCTTTCTTATCCCGCTGCATCTGTCGAGCTATGATAGCACACTATTGTCCTCGTGTCTCTTATCATGTTAGAAACTAATTCATTTCCGTCTGCACGACCTCGCCTCTCATTTTATCCGTATCACCTACAGAGCACAGAACATTTTCAAGCAGGCGATGCGCGGCCGGCTCATCCTTTCCACGTGGTCCCGGCCTCCATGAAGAGGCAGTACGAGCTGCTGGCCCAGAACGAGCTCAGCCCTCCTCAGTCCAACAGAGTCCGCTTCAGCACGGACTCCCAGCAGGTGGGGGACCGGTCCAGTATGGCCGGGTCACGGACGTCCAGATCTGGTGCACAACCAGGCCTAAATCACAAGTAGGGTTTTTGATCATGTTTGTGTTTCTGTTGTGTTACTCTATAGGGAACATGTGATCCATAAACGCTGAGAAGCTGTAACCAATTATTAAGTTATTGACCAAGTCTGTTGTCGTAAACTTTGGTTACCATTAGGTTGTCCTAAATATTTAAAGTTTCGCCTCTGAATCCTGATGAAAACCACCACTTTGTGTTGATGGTCTATTCTTCTTAGAAATAAGAAGTTGAACTGATGCCTTTGTCTTGCTCTTTTAGCCATCAGGGACCTCTAGCAGGAAGCACCCCAGAGCTGAGCCGGCGGTACACCACGTTCCCCCACACCATGGTCACCAGGACCGCGTCCGCCCCCTCCCCCTCCCTGCAGCGCAGGGTGAGCACAAACCCGTCCAACAGCTCCTACCTGAAGAACAAAGGCCGCAGATTCAACATCGAGCTCAAGAAAGGTAAAAATCAACACGACCAAACACATACTGTACGCTTTTTCTTTGAGTGAGGGATAAAAGTTCATTAAAAACTTCAGCAGAAGTCAAGAACAGTCACGCAAAGGGAACTACGTTTGTGGCAGCACAACTTCCAGCCGACTGTCAGTGCTCTTTCACTCTGAAGACAGAAACAATGCTTTCCATTAAAGGTCACATATTATACTAAATACACTTCTCCATGTTTCTCTGACTCTAACATGTGTCTCTAGTCTGTCTACAAACCCCCCAATGATGAGAAAAGTCCATCCTCTCTGTCTTTTACCTGCTCCACTTTTCAGAAAATGTGTGCTCAAACAGGCCGTTTGGAGATTTTCCCTTCATGACATCACAAAAGGCAGTAACCCCTCCCCCAGGTGGGTGACACTCCCACAGCTAGGTGTTTGTTCTGCCCTCTGAGTCTGCCTTCTCACCGTAAACAATAGGACATGGAGGAGAAAGACTGAGACACCCAAGTCCTTCCAGAGAGTGGGCGTGGTCAGACACAGCTCATTTACATATTTAAAGGTAGAGACACAGAAACAGCCTGTTCTGAGCAGGGCTGAAATAGAGGGGTTTATAGACATGATTTGAGGAGCTCTGAGACGTATTTAAACTGGTTGAAGAGGAGGAGAGTATGTCACCTTTAAAACATCAAAGTGTACCAGTTCTGTTTTGCAGACCTACAGATCCTCTTACCAGACAGATCCAGCAGCATTCTGCTTTAAACTTCTCCTTAAACCACCAACAGTTGCATTGTTTTGATAATTTAGCAGCTCATGTGTCAACCACAAAGTAGTTCATCCTTCAGGGAAGGAGTGAGCAGATGCTAATAACACCTGTCTTTCTCTGTCTTTTTATTCCGGCCTCTGTCAGCCTAGTTTCGCTCTGTCGATCGTCTCTAATCCTCAATGAGACAAAGAGGACAAAAATTATTTATCAGCCTTTAATTGTTCAGGAAATACTCAAAAAACTCGGCAGCCGAATGGTTACTGCCTCATATCCACAAAGTTGGTGGTGCAGGCTTTATGTCCCCACATACCAACAACTTCCTCCTCCTGATTCATATCTGCTTCTTCACCTTCAATCAATCTCAAAGTGGTCAAACTAATCACATTTTAAAAACTTCTCTGAGTGCCTTTGGAGCGTCTTAGCAGAGTTAGACTGCTTCCAGTTGAGGTTTGATTGTTTGCTGACTTGGACAGGCCTTTGATTCTGGGTCTGCTGTATATCCTAGCCAACCACTGTGGCCGGTTTCCTGCCATACTCATTTTCATCACTTTAATATCTTCATATGATTTGATAGTTGGTTGTGAAACAAACCAGTGTGGAAGGTACTTTCCTTTTCTCCCTCTCTCTCTCTCTCTCTCTTTTTTTTTTTTTTTACTGCATGTCGGGAGCAGATGTTCGGTTGAAAGCTGGCACCGAGGCCGGAGCAGTGAGCTTCAGGGAAATGTGCAGCGAACGAGGGCAGCAGTGCAGGCTAAATGCAACGCGCTCAGGGGAAATGCAGTGACAAGCTGCTTTAATATGTTTGGCGTAGTTCCCCGAAGCTGCCAGCAGACCTACAGAGTTCATATTCAACTTTTGGCAGCAGTGAAATTTGGTTTTTCATAATTCAATAAAAGTTTGACTTTCTTCTGCGCACAAGCCTTTGATTTTAGGCAAGCTCACTGTGGAGATGTTGGTGGAGCCTCAGAGAGAGAACGATGCCAGGAGTTTGGTTTATTTTGAATGGCCACATTACCTCATGGTCTATTTATAACCCAGGAATAATCTGGACTTCTGCTTTTTCATGTTATTTAAACATTATTATTCTGATTAAACAACTTCACTAAAAACATCAATATAGCTTCATTACTATTATTACATTGCTCTTAATGACTCCATGAGGATACTATTAAAACCTCCATGGACTAGTGCAAGAGAATATTTTGTAATGCAGGAGATACCAGTCAGGGGGCGGCTGTGGCTCAGTTGGTAGAGTCGGTCGTCTCTCAACAGGAAGATTGTGGGTTCAATCCCCAGATGCAGCTACATGTCTGATGTGTTTTTGGGCAAGGCACTTAATCCCAAGGTGCTCAGGCTGCTTCAGTGTGTGTGAATGTGTAGGTGTAAATTCACTTTGAGTAGTCAAAAAACTAGAAAATAACTTTAACAAGCTCAAGTCCTTTTAACATTTAGCATCCCTCTGGAGACACTGGTACAGATTTTGTTTGTTTTTACTTGTTTTCTGATGGACTCCTGACTCTGTTGATTATCACACATTCAATGAAATTGTTACTCACATAAAATTGTCCGCTGTTGCAACAGATGAAATCATGTTCAAGTCTGGTCTGTGCAAGAGTAGTTTCAATATATTTAAAATATAGAAAGTCAAGAAGGTGTAGCATTTGGAGGATGCAACATAGCAGCAGTAAACCTGAAACAGTGTTTGAAAGAAAAGAGACACAATTGATGTAAAATGAATTTCTTTAATATTCATTTAGAGGCTTTGATCTTTTTATGGAGGGAGAAAAAGTCAAAATGCATCATGAAGCTAACGTTGTGCATTTTACAGTTACAAGGTTGTCGCTTAATAAACACGACACTGATAGCACAACTCTGTACCGACATCTTTTCCTCTTGTCAGGGGGTACTTAGCTGGAAAAAAAGAAGAGAGGGGCACGGTAATGAAAAAAGCTTTTCGGCAGCTGCTCTAATACAACTCTCCAAAGAGTGATTTTCTTTCCCAAATAACAGAAATTGCATCTTATATTTGTGCTCATTATTTAATGAGCTTATCAGAATAAATAACATCGTACTCCTGAGCTTTAGGCCTCTAAAAGCAGTCCCTTCATTATCCAAATGTTGTTGGTTTGGAAACTTATTCATAAAGTTAACAGAGTCTAGAGAAAATGTCTGTCTGTATCCATGGACACACCATCAGCCTTTATAACTGATAATGTACTTTCAGAAGAGCCTCAGCAGTTTGCTTGTAATTGTTGCGACTGGGCCTGAGTGGCTCTGAGTTTCTGAGTGGCGGGGAGCAGATCTTGCATGGCAAATTAACAAGAGTGCCTTAATCAAATACTGCAGTCGAAAAAAGGACATACGCACCCCATTAAGTCATTGTAATGTGCCTCAGCCTCTCCTCATGTTTGCTGTTTAATTGGCTTATCGGAGCCAGGATTCCAACTAATCCAGGAAGGGATACAATTACTCTTATCCTGGTCTTCTATTACCCCAAAATAAAGACGTCAGTGGTTAATTACTGCAGGCCTATTAGAGATGCATTCTGCTAATTGTCTGATTGAAGTCCGTTAACGACAAGATCTTACAATGGGCAGGAGTTTGATTCTGCTCATTAGGCTGCAGGGGAGAGGAGACGGACGTGGGGTGGGGGGGAGAAAAGAAATGGATGTTGAGGATTTAGAAGGGGCCACCAGAATGCACAGACTCTGAAGCTGTAAGACACACTGACAGTGTCATCAGTCATGTCATGATCAACTGAACTTCACAACAGGGCCCTAAGTCTCGAACTAAACTCTTCTCCTCTGTCGCCCCCTGGTGGTGGAATGAACTTCCAAACTCCATTCGATCTTCAGAGTCCCTTTGCACCTTTAAGGAGAAGCTAAAGACCCAGCTCATTCATGAATACCTACCACCTGAAAGATATTGATGATGATGAAGGTGATGATGATGATGATGATAATAACCAGTACGATATTTAGGATGGTTTTTATGCTGATTAGAACTCTCAACAACAGATGTCGATTTTTTTCTCTGCCATTGGTCACTTCCTGTCAGCTCCTGTGAGTTGGACTTGTAGCTGTTAGTTTGCACTTCCTGAAGTTGTTTCCTCCTCTCTCTGTCCTTGCATGTGTTGTACTTACTCTCTGATGTCTGTCGCTTTGGATAAAAGTGTCTGCTAAATAAATTCTCAGATTGTAGAATAGTAACTTTGCTAGAAAGGTGGGATTATTCAAACCTGCCTTCTGTTACTGTTCTATCTTTAAAGTTTCATGGTTTTTTTTTTTTTTTTTTTTTTTTTTTAGAAATCGGGCCGAGTAGGGAACTGATTGCGATGCATGTAACCTTCTATTAAAAGTTTGTCTTTCATGAAGACAAACTCTGCTGATTTAACATTCAACATGAGCCACGGCAGCTATTCCTGCCTGCTTAGTTATCATGCTGCATTGATGGAGAGATCATAGCGCATCATTATCCTCAACAGCTCAACTTTTTCACTTTATAAGCAACCTCTTTATCACCTTCCCACAAGTTTGTTTGTGTGCAGAAGCGGCCAGGAGAAAGTTGCCATCCACGCTCTTCTCTCTCTCTCTCTCTCGCTCGCTCTGTCTCTCTCTCTCTTTGTGTTTCTTGTTCATCAACACCATCACTGTCAGCGCTGCGACAGTTCGACAGACTGTTAGAGAGACATACTGGGTAAAAAAGTAGGTCACGATGAACCATCAGAGGTGCTGACAGCTCTGTGAAATGAGCAGCTACTTTTTGACATGAATACTAATCACTGCTGTTGCCATCCCAAAGCCTCCACTGAACCCGGACAACGCGACTTTCTCACTTGGCTGCTTGAAACGCCGGCGGCTAGGTTATGCATGGTGGAATATAATATCTCTCTGAACTCTGTTTTAATGACTCATCCATTGGTATTTTGCAGCAGGGCCTATTGAATGTTTAAATATTCTCTAAAAAATAAAAATAATTCATTTGATTTGGCTTGTTCCCCAGCTGACATTTGAAACCACTTCTTGCTTTTATTTGACAAATTCAGTTCTGGTCAGCAGGAAAGGTCAGGCCTCAGCTCGTCTTATTTATTCGTTATTGTGTTTGCCTACTTCCTCCAGACCTTCGATTCATATTCATTTGATGAACCTGAAAGGTCAGACTTAAGATCCAAAGCAAATGGCTTTGCACAGCCGGTATCTGAGAAAAACAGATTCAGCTGCTGAATTTAGTCTCACCACTCTCACTGCACTTTCAAAAGGCAGGAGCTGCGTACCAATAAGGTCTATAAGTACACTAGACTGTTGTGTTTTTACTTCCAAATACATGTCAACAATGCACTTTGCTATAGTGCATCTGACCTGCAAGCACTTTTGGCAGTTTGACCCACAATCCTCGAAAATGACTACAGTCTGGATACATGATACTAAAGATGGCACCTGTCTGGTCAAATAAGGCGCTTGCTTTGCCTGGGGTATAGCCGACAGGTTTGCAGCTTTCACTTGTTCTCTTGATGATGCCTTGTCCTTGTCTTCATAGGTCTACTAATATTTAGCTTTTTCTGTGTTTATCTTCTACCAGATTTTGTAGGATTATTCTCTTTCTTTCTTAAAAGTTCAAAAAATGGCATATAAGTTTCTAGCTCTGGAGTTGTGTTTCTCCCACTGGCACCACCGCCATAGTTTCTGCTCCATCGGCGTAAAAAATGGGATGATGTCATACTTATTAGATTGTTGTTTTTGGCTTGAGGAAAATTTGACTAATGCAAATGATCATTGAATCAAAAATGTACATTACAAGAATCCTTCTTGACTTGTATGCTGTCTATTAATAAGAAGGCTGGCTTTTATGAAAAATGCTTCCTGGGCTTTGGGGGGGGGGGGGGTTATACTGAGATACCATGAAAGGCCACTGAGCAAAATGTGTAGCAACAGGGAATCCACATCGTTATAACACATCAAAAAATGTCAGGCGATGCATGCACAAGAGGGTCCAAGTTCCAAAATGTACTAAAACTATTGATACATCATAAAGAAACATTTACTGATCACATAAATATAACTGCTCCGTACTTTATGCAAACTTCAAGCGATCTTTACATAGCTTGGACCCTGTCAGGGTTTGAACACCACCTCCTGACCGGTCCGATGTTTCAAAGAGTCTGAACATGTTTGTTGTTGTTGTTTAAACATCTGGCACATGGTGCATGGAGGATTTAGAAACCAGATGTTTGGTGCTCTACATTTTAAGATGCTATTGGGCTGCATGTTGATGTCTTCTGCGATCCATAGTCATTCACTTCTCTCGGATTATTCTGGTCCATAACCGGTCTTTAATCCGACCACGAGTCGCGAGAGTGGCTCTGCAGTCCACGTGCTCGTATCATAAACACTCAATTTTGGTTTATGGCCCTGGTGCTATATTAAGAGTTAGGGACATTTTTTTTCTTTTTAACTTCCTTAAAGTCTTGAGTGAGACACACCCTGATGGCTCAGGACGGGAGTAAGTATGATTGTATTCACCACAGGAGGTTCAGACGATGGTGGAAAACCATCATTTGATCCCTGCACGGTGGTTTCTCATGATTCAGCTGCACGTAGAGTCATGAAAAGGATCTCTCAGCGATGGTTTCAAGAGTCTGGCTGATTTTTCGACACACATTTTTCTAATTTACATTGAAAGTAAAATGTATATAGAAACCAAACATCCATCCATCATCAATACCACTTTTCCCGTTTGGGGTCACGGGGGGCTGGAGCCGATCCAGGCTGTCATCGAACGAGAGGCGGAGTTAGACCCTGGAGTGGTCCAGTCACACTCACAATCACCTAAGAAGCATGTCTTTAGACTGTGGGAGGAAGCTGGAGTACCCAGTCCAGTAACTCCACACTGAAAGGCTCCTGTCCAACGGGGATTCAAACCAGGAACCTTCTCGCTGTGAGACAAGGGAGGCAGCATTAGCTCAGTCTGTAAGGGGCTTGGGTTGAGAGCCGGAGGGTCACTGGTTCAAGTCCCGTTGCAGAGCAAAATATGGAAGTTGGTCTGGTAGCTGGAGAGGTGCCAGGGTACAGCTGAGGTACTGCCCTTGAGCAAGGCACCAAATCCCCAACAGCTCTGCCACGCTCCCTCTGCAGCAGCCGTACTCTGACATCTCTCCACTAATACATGTCCACAGGTCCTGTTGTCCATGTGAGTGAGAAGCATGTCTCTCAATATCAGAGTGTAAACATGAATTTCCCCCCAGGGATTAATGAAGTACATAAAAAAAACAAAAAAAACAGGGCTAACCACTACACCACCTAGCAGCCCAATACACACAATATGTTCTTTAAAATGCAATAAAAGCTAAATTAATCCCACAAAAATGTGCGTATTTTTGTAATTTTTCCTACAAATGAAAGCAAGAAAACAACTGTTACTATATTTACCTGGAGAAACAAATCGACTGTCGTTGACATTTATGAGCTCTTATGGAGGGGCTACAACAATTTACCAAACATACAGTAAACACATGCACATTATTTATGTCACCTTCAGCGCTCTAAAGCTTCAGTAAGGCCATAAATCAGTGAAATCACTGTAATATTTCTGTGGTGGAACAACGTGAGAGCATGTTGGCTGACGATCAATCTCCTCGACTTGCTTTGCTGGTAAACCAAAGGAAGCCTCCCTGAACTGGAGGACTCTGAGGACTGGAGGATAGATGTTTAAATCTTTACAAAGCAGGACATAACATTTATTGTATTGAATGTGTTTATTTCCGTCTTTCCAGGTCCAGAAGGTCTTGGGTTCAGCATCACATCCAGAGACGTCCCCATTGGTGGCAGTGCTCCAATCTATGTCAAAAACATCCTTCCCCGAGGCGCCGCCATCCAAGATGGCCGATTAAAAGCTGGAGATCAGCTGCTTGAGGTGAGGCTGCACTTTCTGACAACCTCTGACTATTAAACAGAGTTCAGCCAGTGTGTTCGGGGGGGGGGTTATGTTGTCACACAGATTAATTACTCTTTGGATGATCTGGTTTTTGTTTCAAAATTCAATCTCACAGAGCTTTTGTTGAAATGTTTCAAACACTCTGCGTTCCCTTTGGCGACGGCAATTCTGCTCCAGCTTTGAATGGCTGGGGGAAAGTGGTTGGAAGGCACAATATTTTGATTAAACTTCAATCAGAGTGACGTGCAAATCAGCGAGTGCTCACTTTAGGGGGAAATAACCCGTGTTTAAATCCAGCTCCAACTGGCTCCCAGAGTAATCTGCATAAAGGTTATATGGAGGCCACAGAGCTCCCCTCACTGAAGTCAGAGAGCCCTTTGATTTGAGTTTTGCCGCTGAGTGGGTGAAAATCTTTTCATCTGCGTGTATTTCATCCCAGTGCTTATGATTCTCTTTGTGTGTGTGTGTGTGTGTGTGTGTGTGTGTGTGTGTGTGTGTGTGTGTGTGTGTGTGTGTGTGTGTGTGTGTGTGTGTGTGTGTGTGTGTGTGTGTGTGTGTGTGTGTGTGTGTGTGTGCATGCAGGTTAGTGGAGTGGATCTGAACGGTAGGAGCCAGGAAGAGGTTGTGGCCCTGCTCAGAGCAACACCCATGGGTGGGACTGTGAAACTGTCGGTGGTTCGCCAAGAGGACGCCATGCTGCCCCGAGAAGTGGTCAGTACCCAGCCACTGGCTGACCTTTTAAACTACTTTAACTTCTACATCCCACTCAGAAAAAGTACGACTTTAACATTTGATTGGAACAATGTAGAATGATTACGTTCTCGAGTGAGCTCCACGATACGGGAGAAGAGTTGTACTTTGTTATTCAAACTTATTTTTCCCCTTTAACACATTTCATTGAGTTTGGAAAAACTATTTTTTGGATGTGTGGTATTTTCTTATTTTCTTAATATAATACAAAGTAAGAGTAAGAGACTCTTAAAGCAGTTGTTTCTGGAGTGATTCGCTTGATCAAATGAGTCTAATTTGTTACAGCACTCAATGATCTGACTTTATGAATATGATAATATGGTATAATTGGTAACGTTATTTTTATACTATTCATTGTTGCCCTCATGTACCTCTAACTTCAGCTAGTTTAGTTTAAGTTTGTCTAACTTTCCATCAGGCTCTCTGCAATGCAGTCCTTTTACATTCTTTTTTCTGATGTGTGATTGTGATCGTGTTGTGTTGGCGAGGGCCTCACACACATGCTTCACACACATGAAATACACACACACATGCTCAAACAGGATCCTGTGGACACACACTAATGGAGGAGCGAGGGGGCTGCACTTGAAAGAGCGCCTGAGCAGAAAAAAAAATAAAAAATCTGTCTATATCAGTAAGAAAATGCAATTAAAGAGCAACGTTCGCTCACAATAAAATATAGTAAACCACAGACTTTTGATTTATGATCAAAGAGGAGTTCCTTTAAAAGACCCTAAAAGGATCCTTTACATGAAATAAGAGAGCATCAAGGCTGCTCGCCTCTAAAATATTTATTATTTATAAATATTTATTATATTATATTATTTACTTTTTGATGAGCTTCTACAAAACAACATCTAATGAAAATCTGCATGATAAGTATGGCACATTTTTATTTAATCTGGACACATAAGAGCCCTTAAGTATCAGGTTGAACCTGTTTTGTTACACAGCTCACCTTACACACACGATCAGGTCTGGACAAGAGCAGAAAACACACTTACATCCAGCGAATTCACAATTTCATACACACATTCAATCAAAAGTAATTGATCTGCACAAGCAGGCACAGTCAGAGCCTTGTATACAGGCACTTAGAAACAGAGTCTGCTGACTCACACACACACACACACACACACACACACACTCACACATACTGAGGCACCCTCAGGTGCTCCACAGCTTTAGACATATTCACACAAACACGTGAACAGAGGCTCTCGTACACGCTCAAAGCCTACATACAGGGTGACTTTGGCTGTCGTGCAACAGATGGCGAGGCTACTGCCCTCTTCCAGCCCACGCTCAGTCGCCGTGACAGCAGGCTCCGGGTGTCACAGCACCTTGGCTGTCCAGGAGCCCCCGATGCCAGCCGCACTCCTACCCTCAACACTCAGCCTGGCACCGGGCTGTTAACCCTGCCGTACAGGCTGTTCAACCTGTGGAGTAATGGCCCCTCTGAGACACTTTTTTACTCTCCTAATGTGCCATTTCTTTACAGCCAGAAACGCACCAGCCCCAGACTTTTACTCCACTGTAATCGTTCTATTTTAAATGTAACATTCAAAAAGTAGCAAATTGGCTCATCTACCATTCCTACTTGTAGTGGAGGAGTCGTAAATGTACATTTTTCAAGCTTGCTTAAACATGACATCGGTATGCAAGCAACCTAAAGTGGCTTAAGATGAGGATATATGCTGCAGTTGTCATCAAATCTTTGACCTCTGAGCTGCTCAAAAGTATCTCTAAACACTAACAGGAGGGATACTTCAACCTTCTCTGCTGAATGATGCTGCAGGGGTGCTGAAAAATGCACGGCTTCCCCCCTGGGCTATCGACTTATGAGTGGTGTGGTGTGAGAGTTTGATGGCTACGCTCTCTCCTAGCTCCTCATGACGTGCGATTAGAAAAAGCCGATCATGAAAACACTGTTTTTAAATCTCTCTGTTTCTCTCTTTTTGGTCTCAATTTCTTCATGCTGAGAGAGACTGCTGGTTAATATTTCACAGCTCTGTGCAGCCGATTAGCATTTTGCTACTCCCTCCTTTACTTTATTTTTCTTGTTCTCTCACACAACTTCACATTTCCCAGCAGTGATTTCACAAATCTCAATAATCCTCACAAGTATGTTCATAAAAATCAGATATGGAGGACGCGGCTCTGCTGATGGCAGTTATTGCAAATAAAGCGCGGAGGAAAAGCATCGTTGGTAATTGCCTTTGCTGTCACACACTCTGGATGGGTGACTGAGTGTGTGTGCGTCATGAACTCACTGCCAACACTTACATAAGCACACACACACATATGGATGAGTGTTAATGTGCCGTCATTCATGTGAATCCCTCAATGACAAAGCAATGAGGTTTTAGATTGTAGCGTGAGTGACATGCTGGAGAACTGCAGGCGTCTGTCAAAGAAGTGTAGCCTTTCACACGCACACACACTCAGTGGCAGGAGATCCAACCTCGCAGATGAAAATAGAAGAGCCGTTTATTTGTCTGGTTGACATTTGCCAGCTGATGTTTAATGTCAGCGCTGAAAATCCCTCCACGTCTCCTTTTGTTTGGATGTTTTATTGTGTGCCAGGCGAGCTGCACGCGCCCCCGGAGGAATTAATTTACCCTCCCAGCATGTTTGCGCTGCGTCTTTAATTACCACGGTCGGGGTGTATTTTGACATGCTTTCAGTAGCAATAGCAGTAGCTCTCAATAGCTCTCAATAAATATGTTCTTGCTGGGAAGAGAAAAGGTTAAATGGCTATAGAGCAAAGTGGGGCGTTGCCTCTGCGATTTACCCCGTCTGTCTCTTTCTACTCCGAGGATATCAATAGACATTTTCAGACAGATACATTATGTTGTATCAGAGAGGTAGAGCAGCTTTAACCTTTACCAAACACTGGACTCATCACTAATAAGCCTGCCCTTTCATGTCTCTTTTCCTCTCCTAAACTCCCACCATCCATACAATGTTAAAAACATTCCTTATAGAGGGAATTTGTACTCTTTGCTTCTCTGTTGGGTTTGGAAGAATGAACCCTGTGACCTTCAGATTTTAAGTTAAGTGCATTTAAAAGACGAGAGGAGCATCAAGGAGAGATGCAGAGAGCCTGATTCACATAAAGATTACACAGCTTTTGGGCTCGCTAAATCTGTGCAAATGAGTCCAAAAAGACACAGTCTTATTCACTAAGCGCACACAAAGGGTTAAAAGCCCCCCTAACTGCGCTGCAGAGCAAACAGCGACTCTGTGCAGCGCTGCTGTTTGCATATTCTCAGATGAGACATTATGCAGTCATTTGGTATAAATGCTGATGACGATTCTATGCAAATCGTCATCATTTTAAAAAGTGTCTATTTCACAAACAGCACAGTCACAACCACCGACAGTTAAAAATGACCGTCTGTTGAGAGTTGGTCAGTTTTAGTTTGACATTACCTTGGGGTTAAATCAGGCCGGGTAGTGTTTAGCTTAAGACTTCATTTACAACTTTGGAGAAGGTCTAGAGGTGTTATGCATGACAAGGATACAAGTATTGTTTTTTTTATTTCTTTGAGTTGTCCTTGCTTGCTCCATTCAGGAAGAAAGCTTTGTTTAGCCTATCAAATAAAATAGAAAAAGATTCCCCTCTCAGCTCATCATCTTAATGTGGACAAAATTGACCTTTGTCAAAAAGAGAGCACAGGTCACGGGTCCAGATAGTCCAACATTTTGGGCATGTTTGCACCTAAATATATCATTAGTGCTTCAGTATATGCTTTGTGAATTATACGATGGGACGGAGCAGATAGTGGGAGCAAATGATGGACAATTGTCAGAGCTTTTAGCGGACGCAATCCATTTTAGTGAATCAGGTCCACATTTGAGTCTAAAAGCTTTAAGTCACAGCTGGAGATTCTGATCAGGGGCTTTGGATGCTGAGTCACTTTACTGCTAAAATGTTCCTTCACTTAACATCTCCGGGAGTTTAAATCAGTAATGTGAAAGCAGGATTGTTGCAGATTAAAACAAGGAAACCATAAGGAATGCTGCCACCTATGGATTTTGAGGTCAATGCATTATTACTATCATTATTACTAATGATTTTTTTTTAATGGGTGGACATACCTCTCTCAGCCATACCTTAGTGAAAACTCATAATGGGCATGATTATGAATGGTGACTCAGTACTTTTGTGTCCTTTTGATTAAATAATGAATGATCTCTAAGTGCTTGTTTCTTCAGAGTTTTATGAAAAGTGATTGGTGAAGGAGTTCATCCAGTATAACAGACACACAGGTTGAAAGAAGAAGTTAATGGAAACATGATCTTAAAGATTTAAATGTGTAAAGATATAATGTGAAGCCAGCCTGAGTCTTACAGATGGTAAATCCAGTTTCACCGCCAACAATCTCAACACACACACACACACACACACACACACTGTACACATACACTCTGTTATGCCCTAATCATATTTTGAACAACACCATGAATTCTGAGCCGCTCCTTGTAAAACCTGATGCACAATATGGACCTGATTAGTCACATATGCTCAAGTGCCATAATAACGTTGTTCACTTTTGCCCTTACATCATTCCATGACCCTTCGTGAACAATATTTTTATACATCCAATATGACTAAGGACTGTGGAGAACAAATGGGCTCAGGAAGCCTCTGTTGTAACACTTTGGACCACATAAGAGCAATTAAACAGTACATTAAAATCCCCTCTTTATGATCATATCACACTTGTCACTGATCCATTAGTAGCTATATCTGCCAAGCAATGAGAATCTTAATAGCACAATTAATTATGGCCTCTGATTGATGTGACTGTTGAATTTATGGCCCGTGCAAAAGCTGGGACACAGTAGACAAATGCGTGACAGTATGGCGGACATTTATAGCAGACTAATGGCCTGTTCCATAACTGCCAACCCCAGTGGCCTGGTTTAAAATCCTCACAGCCATGTTTTACCAC